TGAAGGAAGGAAGGAAGGAAGGAAGGAAGGAAGGAAGGAAGGAAGGAAGGAAGGAAGGAAGGAAGGAAGGAAGGGATTTATACAGGAGAGAAGGGAGAAATCTGGCTATGAACAAAATCTTGATTCAGCCTTTTACCATCCTTGCCCAACTAGGCCGATAAGCTTTCGTCGACTTGTCCGAGCGTGCGTTAGTGCGCACGATACCCACAATTTCCAGCTGCAGTTGGAGTCCAACGTCGCTGGAAAACAGCTGGCGGGAATTCTTGCAAAAGCCGCCGGACAAAGGAAAATCAAGGAATTGGACCCCGCGTCGCGCTTTTCTCGGCCTGATGACGGCTAAATGAAAGATTCGCCTTCCCCCCCAACGGTGTTCTCCGAGGTTAACCTCAGACTTTGAAACGACCCTTTGCCCCAAGGGACACAGAAAGAGAATTACGTTTTTTGCACCACACCGAAGGCTAGAGAACACAAAGGGAGGAACAAAAAATCCAAATGGCATGCAAGAAGGGTCTTAAGATGAGACTTCAGGTGGTGATCTTTTCAATCTAGACCCCCCCCCTTGAAAAAAGAGGAGCCAGAAAAATTGGGGGCCCTTTTGCAGAATGGAACAGGGGAGGAAATCTATGTTAACCTAGTACCCTAGGAGGTCCACAAATACAAATGTGTGTCAGTTCATCTTTAAAAGCTTAAGCCGTCGCTCTTCCTCTCTTTCACACCCAACCCTCAACCTCAGCTTAAAGAATCTTTTCGGAGTTTTTACAGGGAAAAGAAAGCCAACCTCAAAACGCAACGGAGGAAGGGGTGACAGTGCAGAAGTCAACTCTATTTACACGCATCCGTAGCTAAAACTAAAAAACCCAACCCCACAGCTGAAACCATTGTTTTAAAACCACTGTGGCGTTGGCCACTTAAAAAAAAAATAATAATAATAATAATAAAAGCATCGCTTAAGCTGGTTACTGGGTTATAAATGGACTGCTGTTCTTTCATTCTCTACGAGGATCGGACTTTTTCACCGTGCAATGCACAAGCAGAGCTCGATTTGACAGGTGGGCGCTTGAAGGGCGATCTGATCTCCTTTCTTTGGTGGAACAGCGAGAAAAGCATAGCCGTTGCAAATATTCGGCCCTTGGCGTTTGCACTGTTCATGCGGGAGAAAATTGCTTGTGCAAAACCACTCCCCCCTTCTCACCAGCACGTCGGTCAGGACCAAAATCACAGCGGCTGCACTCAGAATGTGGTCCAAACACTTCGTTCACTGCTCAACCCGAGGGCGTAAGGATTCCCCCGTACCCATTCACAGAAACAAATTAAAAAAAAAATTGTGGAGTCTGCAACAAAGAGAGACGGGTTTAGTTTCTTTCAAGAGCTTCGGGAAGTGCCACAACGCTCTGTGCGATCGAGTTTTTGTTCCAGCAGAAAGAAATAGAGCGGGAAGATCGAGCCACAAGAAAAAAGAAAACGGGAACGTAAAACGGGTTCTAGGAAAAGCTTCAGGACTGAAAGCAAGTTCTGGCAAATAGAAAATGATGGGCTCGTTCTTGGCCTTTCCTGCACAGAATAAATTCAGACATCATATAAATAGAGCAGTGAAACATTAATTTTTTTCACCTACAACATCAAATACGTATAAATAAATTCTAGTGTTTTATTTTCACCGGAGGAACAGAAAGGGCTGGGAGGGCAGAGCAAAGGGATCCCTTGAGAATCTTTTCTATCGTAAGGGTTGCATTTCTGATTTAAATTTCTACCAGAAGGTCTTCTATGATCTTTTGCATCTAACCATCAATCTAGCTTCCCCCACAACTGAAAGACAAATGCATCCCCCCACAAAAAAGAAAT